TGTTATGTTGGCCGTGTGATCGGTTGGTGGGATGCTGTCAAATAATTCCAATTCATTCTAACCTAACCATACTATTCATTTGGGGTTATGTTATCCGTTATTTCAAGGACTTGTATCAAAAACTTATTCAAGTTATTGCACGTTAAAACCTCTGTATTTAAAGTTATATTATAAATGGTTTTTGTTTGATAGTAAATAAATACTAACTTATTTACCTCTTTTCAAACTATGTGGTAAATATAGGCTAGTCAAGTTTCCTGGTTTGGAGATATTGGTTTAGGCCAATAGGCCTATGGCATTTGATTAAATAACGACCATCGGTTTAAATGGGTTGCTCTTGTTCGTAAAATAAATAAATAAACTTATATTGCAATCATAATGTTGAGTTGGCAGAGATTTTTGTTTACCACATATCAACAAAACAGGATGACGCCATCTTGATTTTGCCTGTAATTTGACAAGTCCCACCAACCCGATCACCCGGCCAACCTAACAAAACGAAACTCTAAAACAAAACTAGCAAAAACAGTGGTACGTTTTTTGAACACAGAGTGGTTACTCCAGTTATAATGTTATAGCTCAGTGATACGACGTTGCCTGCACGTTACGCGCCCACTATTTCGTGCCTTCAGGTTGCAAATCTGGAGTGAGACAAAGTAATTAGAGTGAGACAATGTTAACATTGTCTCACTGATGAGCGAATTGGCCACTTTGCTTTCTCAAATCAGTGAGAGAACATGTACATTGTTAGGTAACTGTAGGAAAAATCTATTTCTTCTCCTTGGTGGTGTTCTATGACTTTCCTATGGTTCCATAGTTTGCAAATGGGCTCTTTCAATGATAAATAAGAAATGCAACACAGTGTTAATTCAGTTTTCTTTTTAAGATATCAATTTTTCCAGGCTCTCTCACTTTTTCCATTGTAATATTTACGCCAACCTAAATTCAAATAGTAAACATTTCATTTCAACCAAGTCAGTAAATGTTTGTAGCAAACTGTTAAATTAGCAAACTTATTAACGGTTTACAACATATGTTCTTCTTCTCACTTTTAATTTCTGACAACAGCTGGAGTTTCATAACAATTTTTGTTTCCCATATGTTAATCTTATGGAGAAATACGAAACTTTAAAGGGCCCCAGGGCCTCACTCTCTAATTATTTCCCTAAAAAGAAAGTTTCCTGCACAACTTCAGGCTACAATCTATCCAATGAGACCAAAAACATGTCAATCGGTTCAGTAGTTTCGGAGGATTAATTGTCACAAAAATCCTGCTTGGGTGCTTGCGTATTAAATAAGTACTAGTGGTCGTCCTGTGGTCGAAACTCGACCAAAAATATGTAATGTACTCACTTAACTATTTTCACCCCACACTGTAAATAAAACATGTGATTGGAGTTTCCTCCATTTGTTTTGATTTTCTGTTTATATTTCGTTGTTATTTCGTAACCAGCATAGCAACGCATAAGATCCATGTTAATTTTTTACAACTTTTAAACTTATTTTTTGTGCTTATCTTTGAGCCTATTTAAATTTATAAAGGGATTCTGCACACCTACAGGAAAATAGCTTTCCAACGGTATGCGTAGATTTTCCCTACGATGCACACGAGCTGAGAAAAAAGGTTTTAAAGAAACATGCTTGCCTATTAATATATAGATAGATAGATAGATATAGAGATAGATAGATATATAGATTAAAGAATCTTAACAGCTGGTTCAACTAAACAATTTGATTCTGTGATGTTCAATAGCATTAAAAAGTTAATAGGCTTACCACAGGGGTGCCCATCCCCCCCTAGACTCATGACGCAACCCCCCCCCCCCGCAATTGAGCAACAGCCCCCCCCCCATAAATGATGTACACAACAAATTAGAAACATTATTCCCCCGCCCAGCACTATTTGTAAAACTATAAAAGAAGTTTTATAATTTTTTTAGATATTTAAAATTCAAACCCAGTTAATCTATATCAATAAAGTTATAGTTTTGTCTGAAAATTGCTCAGAATTGTACATAATTTGGGATATTTATGTTTTATACATTGAAGAAGTTGAAACATGTCTTATCTCAATTTATGTCCGTCTGTCGTCACGGCCCAGAATGCATTTTATGCAGCCTACTCATGGCCTACTCTAAAGAAAACTAGAGTACCGATTATGATTCTAATGGTTTAATTGTATCCACAAGATTGGCGAGAGAGTCCTTATAGCCATTAAAATATGGCCTCACTATTTTGGAAATAAAATAACGGACGATCAAAAACACAATTTTGTGTGATTTTTCAAGTTTATTTTCTCCATGTTTACTACATACGTCATTAATTTATGAAATACTAATAATCTGTTATGAGAACACGTCATGTATGAAATTATGAGCAGCTGTTTTGATAAAGATTCCTTTTCCTAGCTGTCACTGATATGTTTACATAAATGTTCTTTAAGAATACTGTGTAGGCCCTAACCATTTCCGATCACGTTTGTAAGCAAATCCAAAACCAAGTGAGATTAATAACCGTGTGGCTTTGGCTTACATAACGGGTTTGATTTATCACGAGTACTAATATGTAACTGTAAATTAAATTAAATAACTAGCAAACTAGCCATCATCCAGGTCGGGAACCGGAGATTCTGTTTGTATCAAATTGTACTTGAATTTTGATTACAGGGAAAAGACCGTGAATCAGTGTTGTACAGGACTGGAAAACTTATCTTTCTATATAAATAAAATTAGAGTTTCATAAATCACCTCAATTTAAGGAATTTTTATTGCCAGAATATCCATACAGCGTTCGTAACCTGCTTAACGAATTGTCAGCGTCTTTCTCGATATTACGATCCCCTCTCCCTCCCTTTAGAAACATCACAGCTCCTTTGATGAAAATGAAATGGAAACAACGCTTGCGCCAACAATCGTCTGCTCCGTACACTTCTGTCTGCTGTGCGCTATGTTACAACAGATTTCAGATACAACAGCTCTAGGGAATGATGACGATATAATGCTTAGTACACTGTGATTGAGTGATAACCATGGTAACTTTAGTAAGGCTGTGATTGGCCAATGAGTAGACCTAAATATGGCGACTTGTTGAATTCGTGTATGAATTGAAGAGAAACCTATTAAAGAACAGAAGAACAAAGAAAGAGAATAACAAGATTGTTCTCGTTACATTCTTTTTTAAGAGTGTTTTAATTATCTCTCAATATAATTTTACAATTTTTTATTACTTATCTATCAATTCCTATGCTGTGTTACAGCACCTATCGGTAGCCTATCCGTCTATCATGAGCAGTACCTTATAACACTTTCTAAAGGTTCCTTTAATAATTTACGTTATTTATAGCAATACAATGTTTGGCTAGTGATTAGTTGAGTTTGAGTTAGCTACAATTTTAAACGTTTCCGTTTGTACAACTGAACCAAGATAAATGATTTGAAATTTACAATAATAATGATTGTGCAATATTGAATTTCGTTTATAAAAATGTAAATCGTGACGTTTATGGCTGTTTACAGCGTTTTAATGAGTTTGTCATCTGTTTTTATACTATATTGGATTAACCGTATTTTTCATTCCCCCCCTCTCCCTATTAACTCAGGTAATCGAGTATCTACACAATAGTGTAAAGTATTGTAGCCTATGCTACTTGCTACTTGATTGTATTTTAACGAGCTTTATGTCAACAAAGCGTTCTGCTGTGCTAAGTCGCGGTGTAGCTGGACGTGTCTGTACCACGCGTTATCTTTTAACTATCACAGCAGTTGAGCCATCCCGTGCGCTCCCTCTTAGATCTCACGTCTTGCTAATCTTAAATAAAAACTTTCTACACGAATCCTAAACTATCCTAAAATCCTATTTTAACTAATTTAATTCAATAATATAACTATTGTCATTAATTAATCCACTTTCTATCTGGCGACTTCGTAATGTATTTTGGATTGTCGTCACGTTGAACATTGTTGCTATTAACCCCCCCCCCATTTGAATTTTTTGAGCCCCCCCCCCCCAAGAATTTCAATGACGCAGTCTGCGTCACGGCCCCCCCTTGTGGGCACCCCTGCTACCAACAGGGTGCAGCACTATATTTTTCTTAAATTATGACAACAGCTAATTTGCAACCAAAAGGTGAGTGAGCGTAGCGACGAATGAACTTCAACCTGGAGCACCCTGGAGGCGAGTTAGCGCAGCGAACGAGCTATCCTGAAGGCAAGAGGCAAGTGAGCGCAGCGAACGAACTTCAACCAGGACGCCATGCGAACGAGCTCATCTTGAAAATGAACGAGCATTTGACATAAAACCACAACCACATTAGGACAGGACGACGTCTGTCGGGCCAGCTAGTTATAAAATAAAACTGTCATAACCTAACCAAACTTGCTGATAATGCAAAAATCTTAGACAAAAAGTTATTGTCACCGATAAGTTATGATTCGAACCTGGAACTTTCAGTTTCTCAGCCCGGCACGTTATCCACTGGGCCACCGAGGCCGATGATTATAAACGGTATCGTTGCGGTAATGGTGTCATTTTGTCCGTATTAAAAACACTGCAGCTGAAATAAAAATTGTGCTTCCCCCCACTCCGCAGTGCCAAAGGACAACATCAACATCGTGATGATATAGCTAATAGCCAAATGCTAATAGCCAAGCCATAGCGAAGGTTTAGACTCCTATGAGACTGAGGAGTAAATCTGCGGAGTGCGGACTGCGATTGAAAACTTTAAATTGAAACTTGAAACATTTCATCATAGATAAAAGGGAGTATGTTTTATCTATGATAAAACCATAAAACATACTCCTCAATTTCATTTTCAAATGGATTCAATCACGTAGTAATCGTGCTACGTACGTACGGAACGGAACCACTGAGCTATAATTCTATTCGTGAACGGAACGGAAGAACGGAAGTGAATTGAATACCAGTAGAGTAGTGTAGTGAGTCAGTTGAGTGTAGTGTAGTGATTAGGTAGTGACTAGTGAGTGAAGTAAATCAATAGACTTCAAAAAACTTCTCTGTTTCTCTCTAATGTTTCCCGATCCTGATCGTTAACGTTTTGGGAATAAGTCGTCAATAGTAATAGTCAATAGTCCAATATGGAGTTGGAATGTCAATCGCGTTAAAAAAATGAAACCTGATCATGATTTTTCCTAGTTGATTGACCGCTAGAAAAGTGTTAAATTAAAAACAATTTTGATTTACAGGTACGATTAGGAAGCTTAATATAAGGCAGTTTAATACATAAATCCTCTAAATAAGTACTTAAAGTTGGCTTCATTTTGCTATTGACCCTAAGTTAGGCTAATCGGCCTAGGCTACAAGGTGAGGTTAAAATAATTTATTATTGGCCAACATTTTACCATCCCATTGGCATTGGCATTATTACTTTCTGTAGCCTACCTAGGCCGAGGCCTAGCCTATGTAGCCTAGGCCTAGGCCTACCCTTATTTTTAGTCTACAGTCCACAAATGAGAAGATTAGGTTTTTATGGGATTAGGCTAAGTTATACAGCGATAAAATAGGCGTAGAACCTTAAAAGTTAGGCCTATTTTTGGTATTTGTTTAGCCTACTTTAGGGGCTTCTAACGAATTTTGAAAAAATGTAATTTTCTCATTAGGCCTATTTGGCCTATTTTGAACACTTTTTACATTTGGCACTTTTGGGGCAAACACCTATTTCACCCTAAAAATCGCGTTTGAAAATTGCAAAAAGTGCTAAAAATTTGAGTGGTGTTTTTACTCTTAACACGTTGGATGCTGATGACGGGAATTCCCGCCATTGCTTAACATTGAAATAAATGCAATTTTCATGTTCAAACATGTCAACGGCACTTTTAAGTGTTAATGTGTTTTTACTATTACTTGGGACCTACAGAACTGAATATAATCCAACCTAACTTTATCTAATCTAATCTAACCTCTAACCTAACCTAACCTAACCCAACCCTACCTAACCAATGCTTAGGTTAGCAATATGCCGTAAATAGCGGATTATTAGTTAAACCAAGGTTAGGTTAGGTAAGGTATGGCTAGTTATTAAGTTATTATTTAATTTAATTAGCCTAAAATCACCTGAATATTTGAAATCTAACCTAACCTAACCTAATTTAACCTTACGTTTAAACTAACCTAACTATATTTCAACTAACCTAACCTAACTTAGGCCTAACCTAATCTAACTTAACCTAACCTAACCCAACCCTACCTAACCAATGCTTAGGTTAGCAATATGCCGAAAATAGCGGATTTTTAGTTAAACCAAGGTTAGGTTATAATAATCATAACATCTGCTTATTACTACAATAAAAACACATTTAAAGAAAGGCAAGGGGGGGGGAAAACCTGATTTTCAAAGTAAAAATGGCAATTGCTGAAAAAAATTTTCAAACGCGATTTTCAGGGTGAAATATGCGTTTGCCCCAAAAGTGCCAAATGTAAAAAGTGTTCAAAATAGGCCAAATAATGAGAAAAAAACATATTTTTCAAAATTCGTTAGAAGCCCCTAAAGTAAACAAATACCCTCTTTTTACTTTCTCCCCCTATACCATAGTATATGGAGAAAGTATTGTTTTCGTCAAAATTTTCGAGTTTGAGTTTTGAGTGGATATATTCGTTTTGGGTCCCCCTGGACCCAAAAAAGTGGTTTTCGAAGTGATGTCTGTGTGTGTGTGTGTGTCTGTGTGTCTGGATGTGTACAGAGCTAGAGACCACACCTGTGGTCCGATTTCGATGAAATTTGGTATGTAGGTTCTAATCAATAGTATCTCCAGGCGTTTTTTTCATTTTTTTGAAATTTTTATTTTTAATGGGGATTTTCCCATAAAAACCCATAAAAAACCGGAAAAATCGGATTTTCTCGAAAATGGCCCGAACGATTTTGATAAAAATTTAGTATGTTGTAGCCCTTTAAATTCTGAATAAAATGGTACAAATCCCATATCTGTAAAAATTACGGTTCAAAAGTTATGGTCAAATATGTTATTTTCCCATAAAAACCCCATAAAATAACGAAAAATAGGATTTTTGAAAAAAATCCGGTTTTGATTTAACATAGTATGTTATAGTCTTTACAGTTTTGATAGTTTTTTTAATTTTTTAGAAATTTTTATTTTTAATGGGGATTTTCCCATAAAACCCCATAAAATAACGGAAAAATATGATTTTCCCAAAAATGGCCCGAACGATTTTGATAAAAAATTAGTATGTTATAGTCCTTTATATTCTGAACAAAATGGTACCTACAAATCCCATTTCTGTAAAAATTACGGTTCAAAAGTTACCGTTGTTGGATAGTTCCGTAATTCTTGTTAACAAATTGTATTGGATCGCTGAATCTAAAGTAAGATGGATGTGGGAAAATATTAACAACCCATTATCATCAACTAATTACGTGTATTCAGCCTAACTTGTCCAGCCCTATCCGTCTCTGACGTCAATTAACCTACTTGTTGAACATAACCTCTGCTTTGGGACTGGAACTGAAAGATTGGAAGTTGGAACGGATGAACTGAACTGGACTGAGCCAACGAACCTGCGTTAGACTGTCTCCACAGCCTTCTAGATTTCGGCGATCTTCGCAGAAGCTGAGTCCAATAAGGACTCAATTAATCTAGTTTTTCGTCTAATCTCTGCTTACATTGCTGAATTCGCAAACATGGCATCAAAATTCCCGATTGAGGTCTGTCCTATTTGTGTGAAAACTGTCAGCGACGATGCCAAGTCCTTACAGTGCGACGGAAACTGCAACAGATGGTTTCACAAGGACTGTATACCTATGAGCACCTCAATATACAACTCTTATGCCAGCGACTCTAACAAAAAGTGGTTCTGCGACCAAGCGGATTGCGACCCGGGCACTTCCACCTTGCCTGGTGTCTCCTTAGAATCGAAGATCGATACTTTCCTCAATAAATTATCTTCGTTGGCTACTAAGGATGAGTTAAAGACTTTAACGGATGGCATTATCCAAATCAAATCTGACTTAAAAGTAGTCGTGGAAAAGATAAATGATTTTGAACCTAGATTGACTAAGGTTGAAACAGAAGTCCAGCAGCTAAAGGAGTGTCAGAAGAGCACAGACCCAGTTGATTTTGATGCCGTTATCGATGAATCCTCTGATCGCAGCCGTCGTGCAAGGAATATCATTATTCATGGTGTCGATGAAAGTGAAATTGTCACCTCTGATGGATCCAAACAGCGAGACAAGGAGGTAGTTAATGCTCTTTTGGAAAAAGTCCACTCCACTGTAACTGTTGATGAAACACAATGGTTTCGTCTGGGTAAAACTTCACAAGGAAAAACCCGGCCGCTGCTTTTGCATATGCTCTCCGAATCTCATGTATCCCAGTCCCAGATCATCAAAACTTTTGGCAGAGAGGATATTGATGGCAATAATATCTTAAAGAATTTATCCCTATCACGTGACCGCACTCCAAGAGAAAGACATATTTTGCAAGAACTTAGGAATATTCTTAAAGATCGTCTTGAGGCCGGTGAAAAAATCTCACGATTAAATACGTCAATGGTACGCCTAAGATCGTTTCAAAAAACTAATTGTTGCCAACAGCAAGCCAAATAAAAACCTTAATATTTATTTTCAAAATGTCAATAGTATGAGATCAAAGTTGGTGAATTTTCAGAATGCACTTGCTACTTGTGTACATGATGTCGTTATGTTGTGTGAAACTAACTTATCATCTGAAAATATCCTCATTTGAATGTGTGGGAAATGCGGATTATACTCTTTATAGGCGTGACAGAGACGTCTTCACTAGTAATAAATCTTCCGGGGGCGGTGTGCTGGTGGCTGTAAAAAGGGATTTACCCAGTCGTCTTCTTCTGTCTGCTGATGATCTCGAGTGTGTGTGCATAGCCCTTAAAACTAATTATTGCACCAACATTTTCCTCAGCTGTGCATACATTCCTCCTGGTTCACCTTCGTCAGCTTGTGTGCAATATTCAGATCAATGAAGCACTCTTCTTAATTAAAGACCCTGCTCACATATTTTTAGCTGGTGATTTTAACTTGCCTCACTTTGTAGAATATCCTAACGGTTCAGACTCTTCAAGGATATTGCTAGACATGGCTTCCTTCCATTCCCTTGCTCAAGTCAACTCTATTACGAATTACAGAGGTGTGACGCTAGACCTTGTTTTTAGTTTGGATCCATCGCTTCGGGTTTCTGAGTCTGTGGACTTTCTCCTGGATCCAGATTGCCATCATCCTCCCCTGTCTACCACTATTCTCCACGCCACAGTGTCTGCTAAATCTACTAGAGTCGTGGTGCCGGACCTTAGAAAATGTAATCTGCAGGCCGCTCTCGGGTCAATTGCCAGCTCTCCAATGGACTTCATATATTCTTCAGTGGATGTGAACACAAAATTCGACCATTTCACCTCGCTCCTTAGGTGCGCTGCTCTTCAATTTAGTCCCAGCAAGAGGATGGGTATTTTCCGTTTCCCAAGATGGGTTTTGCGGGAGCTAATAAAACTTACAATAGAGAAGAAAATAGCCCATAAGAGGTATAAGCAAAATCCTTGTATGACTTTCTATAATAATTTCTACCTCCTTCGTTGTCGGTGTAAGGACTTCTCAAGAGCGTGCTATGCTAACTACATATATGCAGTGGAGTCTAGTATTCCTACAAATCTCCGTGCCTTCTAGAGTCATGTAAAGTCTACCGGGAAATCTTTGGGTATGCCACATTGGAAATGCATCTGGATGGATATTTTACCGAGGATGAACAGGAAAAATGCAAACTATTTGCGAAGCATCTGGGATCGGTTTTTCTACTGCATCAGACACAACCCCCTCTTTTGACTTTTACTCAGTGAATACCATCTGCAGTGTTAGTCTCTCACTCGCTGAGGTCAGGGTCAAGTTATCTCAACTGGATGGTTCAAAGGGTGCGGGCCCCGATAACATACCACCTTCATTGTTGCGCTTCGGCTGCGATCTGCTAGCTGAACCCTTGCAATTATTATTCAACCAGTCCTTGGCTGAAGGCATATTTCCTGCAGCCTTTAAGCATGGGTATGTCGTTCCCCTTCCTAAATCTGGTGATCACAGTGATATAAAGAATTACTGCCCTATCACTATCCTTTCTGCACTTGGTAAAGTATTCGAGAGCTTGGTTCTGGACAGACAGAAGATCTTCATCGAAGGTATTATCTCCTCAAATCAACATGGTTTTGTCGCCCAAAAATCTACAATATCAAATTTATTATTGCTTCAAGAGAGAGCTCTGTCCGCCTTTAGAGCAGGTCTCCAGCTAGACGTCGCCTATATCGACTTCGCCAAAGCGTTCGACAAAGTAGACCACAAGATCCTCGCGACAAAGCTTAGGGACTATGGCATTCTACAACCACTACTTGCCTGGCTGGAGGACTACTTAACTGGGCGCACGTTGACTGTTAGGCTTGGGCCTTCGTAATCGCAACCATTTCACCAGACCTCAGGTGTACCACAAGGCTCACATTTGGGACCCTACCTATTTAATTTGTTCATCAACGATCTGGTGGATTCTATCGAGGTTGGATGTCTCGCGTTTGCTGATGATTTCAAGGTGTTTGCGGAGGTTAAGACGGAAGAGGACTCAATACACCTTCAAATATGCCTTTACAGTGTCTTTGCCTGGTGCAATGTCAACAAGATGGAAATCAATCCTGGAAAATGCTCAATATTAACCTTCCATCGTTCCAAGAATCCAGACATCTTCATGTACATACTCGGAGAGAACAGTATTCCTAGAGTCACGTCCACAAAAGATTTGGGGGTGATATTCAGCAGCGATCTGAGTTTCGACGAGCATATAAACTCTATAGTCAGCAAGGCTAACAGGCTGGTTGGTTTCATCTCTCGTTCTACCAAAGGTATGAATAACCCATCTGCATTGAAAACTCTGTATTGTGCAATGGTGAGACAGTGTCTGGAGTATGCTTCCCCGATCTGGACTCCGTATACAGTTGGTGGACGCACTCGTCTAGAAGCAATCCAGGAAAGATTTTTGAGGCTGGTGGGAGTGTGTCAGGGATACCCCTATCGGGAGGTGCCAACGGATGTTCTGGCTGAGGAGCTGAAAATCCGGCCATTACACATGAGGCGCAGCGTTGCTGATGTTGGTCTCTTGTACAAGCTGCTAAGGGGCCATATATGCTGTCCAGAGCTGCTATTAGAAATAGACATCAGAATCCCTACCATAACAAGATCCAGGGACCTATTCGGCCGTCGCTTCAGAGGCACCACTTATGACTTTCACAGTCCTCTGGCAAGAATCCTCAGGCTGGGCAACAGAGTTGCTCGTGATGTCGACTTCTTCGCCGACAGCTACACCCATAAGGAGGACAACCGAAGCAACCCTGGTGGAGATGTTGGACTAGCCTCAACGCCTCTATTCCTATTGTTATATATATTCTTTGTTAAAAAATTTCTATTGTTGTATTTGCTCTTTGTTATATTTATTATTGTTATATCTATAGTCTTTGTTAACTTATTAATTGTCAGATTATTTATTGTATTCTATACTAGCTGTGTACCCGTTCTACGCACGGGGATCTTATAATATTCAGTTGAAACCTTCTTATATAACGAACAGCAGTTGGTTTGCATATTTTAAGATATGCTGGCCAAACTATTATACATAGCTTCATTTTATGTTGTTTTTTGTTGTTCCGGATCGGTATGACAATCAATAAAAGGTTAAATTACCTCTGTGTCTGCCGGTCGATCCTATAACGGTAGGCTTACTTTTATTTTTACTATCTGATCTCGTTTGCATGGCTCAATCACGTCCTGGTTGAAGTTCGTTCGCTACGCTCACTCACCTGTATGTTGGAGCTCGTTCGCTGCGCTCACTTTCCTTCAGGTTAGCTCGTTCGCTACGCTCACTTGCCTTCAGGTTAGCTCGTTCGCTACGCTCACTCGCCTCCAGGTTGCAAATTAGCTGTTGTCATAAATGTAAAAGAAATAATAGTGCTAGTGCTGCACCCTGTTGGTAATCCTTGTAACTTTAATGCTATTGAACATCACAGAACAGAACCAACTTGTTTAATTGAAACAGCTGTTAAGATTCAATAATTTCATTTCTCATAAGGTTAACATGGGCTTCCAGAAATTCCACGTCAAAAATCGACAAAAACTTGATTTTCAAGGGTTTACTGTTAAATATCTAACTGTCTCATATTCGATGAAATACGTCTAAAACCATCTCATATATGTATAGTATTTGGAAAATAAGTTTCAGGCGGGACAGTGCTATAGTTATTGAGGAGTAGTTGTAATAAAGTGCGTATTTTAGCGTTACCAAGAGAATGACAGATAGACAGACAGACAGACAGACAGACAGAAATTGAGATAAGGTTTGATTCGGTTTCTCTGACCTATGAAATGTAAAAATAACCAAAAAGTTCATTATTCTAAGCAATGTACAGACAAAACTCTAATTTTATTTATATAGATTGAGTATTGTATTGTTCAGCTTGTTTTTTTTTCATCTATGTATTTTGTATTCTATTGAGTATTGAATTATTGACTATTGTTCAGTTTGTTTTTCATCTATGTATTGGCTTAGCCGTTGGCATGTATAAATAAATAAATAAATAAACAAATCACAGCCTTTGGTAATCTAAAGCCTAATGCCCATAGAATACTTTAACTAGGGTTGCTTTCAGAGAGGTGAAAGCCAGTTGAGCGGAACAAACGTGATTTGATATTTGTATAAGTAACTAAATGTAAAAAAGTCAATAGATGTATTAATGCTTGTTTTATTGATTATAATTGTAATAATTCAAATTTGTTTTTACTACATCTTGTTATTCAGACACCTCTTCCAGAAGTGCATTGGTAGTTTTGACCAGGAAAATATTACAGTAGTTGGAATCTGATATTAACATCCAAAAAGGGCATTAAAGTATAAAAAAGAGAAAGGAAATTTAACATTCAAATTCAACTTTAGCCTACAACAAAAACATTGGTGTTCATTTTTCACCCTTACAATCGGTTTAAAGTATTTAAGTATAAAAAACAGTAACTATTTAAAAAAACACGTGAGTATTAAAGTATAACATCAGGAGGGAAAATTTGACATTTAAATTCAACTGTGCAACATAAACATTGGTCTTCATTTCAACCCTTGCAATCGGTTAAAATCAGCTTTCTTTGCTGAAAATAATTTATGATTGTTAATACCAAGAATTCTTGATATGATTGTAATGTAACTGGAATGTAGGTCTTCCACCATTATTGGGACGATTTAGAGACGGCATTTTAATACTGGCCTTAATAAAACCATTGACCATTGGATACAGAAGATTTTGATGAAAAAGCTGGCTATAAATTTAACATGGGGATGGAATGTCTAGTTGTATTGATAGTCAAAGATAACCGTGGTTAAAAGTGTACTTCTATAAGTACAGGTAATTAATTATTTACTTATTACGGTTATAACTGGACGTATGTATAGTCCGTTCTTGGCAATCAAATAACAGTATTTATATAGGATAGGCTACTGTTATCAACATTTGAAATTACTGAATTGTTACCAAATTACTGTTTCATAAAATGCAGATTCCATTTCAGCCGAGCCATTAAAATGAGGATTTGCCGAACAATTATTAATATTACAGAATAGTATTTAATGATGTACAACTTTTCACATTTCATAAATTATATGTTAGTTTTGCAATGGGCAAAGGTCCAAATCCAAATGTTCTTTTCTTTTGGTTTTTATGTAGTAATTTGCTACAATCATTGACTTTATATAAAGTCAATGCTAGAATACAGTAGATGGTTTGTTAAGACCATATGCAAACATTTTTGAAATCGTTTCCCCATTTAACCAACTATTCCAAAAGATAAAAATTATATGGTGCAACACAAATAAACAACTCGATCACCTACCTATAACCTACACTTTACCTTCCTAATCTAACCTTACTTCAAAACATTTAATGTAGTCACGAGTACTCATAAACCCCGACCTACCTTCCCCACATGCCTAAATTAGATCAGTGTTCAATCTGCGTTTTATTAATAAGTGTAATAACTTACTGCACCGTCGATGTAATTCAACATAATATAATCTGTGATGTATTATCGGATTAAATATCGATTTCGATGTGGTTCGATATATCGCTTATTAAATCCTGATTTCTAACATAGGCTGTTTCTAATCAGCTGGCAACACAAATAGGTTCCCATCCCAAGAAAGTAGTCACTGGTCCGTATCCCTCCGCTCCTTGTTTATGCTCCGCGCATTGAGAAAGTAGTTCCGTATATTTTCTCGATTTTCAGTGAATTCCGCGCCTTAAAAAAATGTTGTAACAGCATTTTCTTGTTTATTAAAATCATAGGAATGGTTTAAAAACGTTTAAAAGAAAAGTATAGAAAGTTCAGAAATACCTTATGATTCTCTTGTTTACATTTTTCTTGTAAACAAAAAAACTGTCATAGCTACTTTAGTCCCATAAGCCTAATGTTAAAAATTTAAAAATTTAAGTTCGTTTTAAATTGCATTAGCATTATCTAATTGAAATTTGTTTGTTTACAAACCATCTCATTATTAGTCTAAGTAGTCTTGTTAAGTTTGGCTGAAATGTGTTCAGCCGTTATTGAGTGATGGTGTTATATTGTTTGCATTGAAGTTGATCCCAAAGAGCTTCGCTCGCTTCGCTCGCTCCGCTCAATAAACTTTTCAATGAAATGGCGACCATACAAAGTAGTTATTTTAAGCCGAAGTATGAATGGAGATGAGTTTAGGACAAGTGGTGCGATCTTGTAGTCTTGTTAGTGACTAAGGCCGACATATTCCTTAGACACAGCTGTTAATTAATAGCCCATGTTATGCTTATTCTAATACCCATAACATTTTACTTAAATCTACCGGTATAGCTTAGACAAATAAGGTCCTTTTGGTCAGGACTGGATGCAACTAAGTTAAACGGTTGTTGATATATAGGCTTATATTTGACTGACATAATCTGATCATAAGGAAGCCAAAATAATTGTTTAACTTAACAAAAATAACATTGGTCTATCAATATAGTTTACTGATAAATAATCCAATTGTATAAACTTAAATAAGATAATACAAAAATAAATACCGGTAGCAGTTAGGCCATAAACAATCACAATTAAACGTAAGCTTTTAACCGGTAGCAATTATAATGGGCCTCAGGGCTCTGAGGGTCCTCGCCCTGACCCTCAGGCTTCATACTAGGCCATAAACTCATCTGCTGCAGTTGTAAGTTTCTCAATGTTTGTAACTTAACTAGAATTGTTGTTTCTTGTTTTTTAATAAATGCCTCCAGGAACTTTTGGGATAACTTAAGTTACCCAGTTCCATAATCCATATAGCCTCCTGACTTTCTAGGCTGCTAAACTGCCTTTATAGTCGGACATTAAGTTAAACCTAGTCAGTCCTCTAGATAACTCAGTTCTTACTAATAGTCATGTGTAAAGAAAGTCTGATAAGTAACATTATTATAAATTTTAGTTTTAGGTCTGAGAAGCGATAAGAATATTATTGGGCTTGTGCTACAATTTGCGTAAGATTATGAATTTTTTTACTTTTCGTACTCAATACTAACCTAACCTGATAATTTGGTGTAGGTTGAAAACACTTTACAAGTTAAGTTAGTAGACCTACGGTACATTGATATTTTTTGGCTTTCAGATTTCTTGTTGTGGAAAACATTGACAAATGAGCAAATTGTTGTTGATTCTTAATTTTTTTAGGTGAATAATGGATGACGACGATTTCTACATTGACCATTATGGTGCCAAAATGTTATTTGAAGCCATGATGTATGCGGGGGGTTTTAGATTAGAATGTCGGAGAGAGAGAAGATACAGTACAAGTCCAGAACTATCACCTATAAGAAAAAGAAGTATTTCGCCAGATTACAGAAAAGGAGGTTAGCATTTCTTTCACATTTAGTTACCATATTGTTTGTGTTTTTTCTGTAAAAAAATTACAAAAATCTGGGTTAGGTAAGTGATAGTTTGTTAAGAATAAAGTTTAATCCTTCCCGGACGGGCAAAATCGTGACATAGAACGGGAAAAAATTATAGGAAAAAATAAAAATAAATTTTCCTTATTTGTGTTTTGTTATAGGCCTACAAGTATACATAAAATAAACACAATGGAACACTTCATACTGTCAAAATAATTTTACCTCGATGAGTAGAAAAGCAGCGGATATTCTGCCACCCGTCTTTGAAGATATGACCATGACAATGTGAGGCAATAAATAAAGAACAATGAATAAAGACAACGTAGTGTTGAGCGCGAAACATCGAGGGGGAGCGTAGGAGAGATGGGTGGTGCGCGGGAGAGGGGGAGGCGCGGGAGAGAGGGGGAAGTGTGGGAGAGAGCGCAGCCATGGAGAGAGCAGGAAAGTGGCGCCTTGGTACCGCGAAACATCTGGTTACTGCTCAAGCACCTGCCAGTCTGTCTGAAGAGAAGGCGGATATATCCGTCACCCGTCCGGGAAGGGTTAAGTTAAACTGCCAATACCGGTACTATTTCCAATGCAGTATGGATGTCAGAAAAATAATCATTAGCCCCATAGTGTTTTCATAGGTGTTTTCACTGTTTGATGCATGTAATTTTATTCATCAGATAAATGTAATCGTTAAACTTAGGCCTATTTGTGAAATAGTGCAAAGTGGAACTTAGCTTCAATTTAGAGATATGTTTTCTTGCCTAGGCTTCTTGTGCTGAATGGTTCCTCGAGTGCAATAGATATAGGGATTCACAGAAATTAGCCTATGTTCATGAAGTACTTCCTTCAGTTAACACTCAAGGGCTATCCAGAAAGTAACAGATGTTTTGAGATAAACCAAACCATATAATCAGGGTTCCCACTGACCTGGAAAGTACGAGAAACATATCAATGGTTAGGGTTAAGTTTTAAAAAAAGGCCGCAAGTCAAGGAAATTTTTGAAAATAATATAAAGTTAGGGAAATTTATTAATATTTAACTGTGGACCTATAGATCAATATAATTTTTTGGATGATTTATTATGTTGAAATGAATAGTTGCTGCAGAGATTACTAAAGTTCTGAGAAATCTGTGGTCTATGTAGGCCTAGTTTTTATTACCAACTAGTTGCTATATCTGTGCTTCACAACGGAAAGATATACTAGGACCGCCTAATCCAAATGTAATTTTTAAGTAGGTTAGTACGAATTAATAAACTAAAATCCACCAAATTTATATAGAAAAAAGTATAACCTTCATTGTATTTAGAGGCGGATCGAGGATTGGGCCAAGGGGGTCTGGGGGCGGATTCAACCTCCCTCCAGCAAAAAGGGGTTGGACACCAAAAAAGAGGATCTTATCCCCGGACAAGATTTTAGACCTTTGGTCATTAAAGTACATTTTAAGGTTAAACTTATTCGTTGTCCTTCTAGAGAAGTTTTAAAATACACATTAATTAATGCCCCTTTTGCTTGTTAATACTAGACCAAAGATGACATTCCAAAATGAATACTGTATAGCTAATTTTGCGGCCTTCATAATATGAGTTGGTGAGTTAGTGGCTCAGTCGGTAGCGTCACGGACTTCGGGCCCAAGACAGCGATGTTGTGAGTTCGGATCCTGGTCACTGCCTTAAACATTTATCAGTACAGTTCACCTTCGTACTGTACCGGCTCACCCCTTGCTTTGCTTGATATTCTCCATGCACAGTTAGTCTATGTGGACGGGCAAATGCTAGGTTAAAGAGGCCGCCAACATATTTTTTTTTAAGTTGAAAAATTTGTTTAGTCTCAGACATTTTTCTCTGGTGCAAATTCAAGTTATCTAGGCAAAAAAAAAAATCAATTTAGGCTACTATCTAAAAGGGCAGTACAGTAATAATGTAAGAAATGTATTTAAAGATAGTTTAACAAAACGTGTTAAACAAAAAAGCGTTTAAGGTCATGTATTTAAAGGGTGTACCTATGAATTTTTCCAAAATGAAAATCCAGGTTTATCCTGGATTTTAAAAGTTTTTATCAGGTTCCTGCGTGGATGTTTAGATGTAAACTAAACTTATACCGTAACTAATTCAAGGCCATGAGCTTAAGTTTGTTCTCATACCACATTTTAGCGAATTTTCCATATAGGGAATAAGCTCTTACTGTAGGTCTCATGGTAAGACCTAGACCCGGGACATACTTTTTCGTTACCATGTAATATTTCATTTCATTCATTCATTATTTAAGTTTCTTAAATGAGATTGAAAAGAGAAGGGAAGCCATAGTTGAAAGTTGAAACTGTTAAAAGAAGGAGTCCAGATTTCATCTAAGTTAAATTAATTAATTTCATCAAGAAAACCCAGTTTATATTTAAGTTATATTACAATCTATTTTTCAAAATTAAGTATAAACTTTTCTTTTAAACTCACTTAAATTCAGTGCACATTGGGCTTACCTTTTGGACAACCTCAAAATTTGATTTTCATTGTTGCAATATTGTACTAAGTTTAACAAATTAATTATTTGGACACGGTTTTATTTATTAATTCTTAGCATTCAAGCCAGCACGACACCCTACCCTGAGATAGAGCCCATTTTAAATTATACTATTGTAAATTTGAACTTTTATTTAATCTTATATTTCATTATAACTTCAGCCTACACTCCATTGTCAGTCCTTTCGTTATAACGTAACTTAGCCTTTTAAATTTCGTTGCATGTTTGTTCATTTGTTTCAATAAAATACCTTTTGTAATTCGTATATCTTTGTTATTATTAACTTTAAACATTTATAAAATAGGCCTAGCCTAAAATGAATATTGTAAGGTAAGTTTACAACCATGAGGCCCCAGAGGCCAAAAACACCCACCGTTCAATCTAACTTTAAACTGTCAACACCCACTTATCGACCTAACAACCTAGATAAGTTGGAAAATATGAATTTTCAGAGTACAGTAGACCCCCTCTTAACCGACCCTAATGGGACCGGACCTAGGTCGGATAACTCAAAAGGTCGGTTAAAACAGGCAATCCCTAAAATCATAACATAATGAAGTACTATTCATTTGGAATTATATAATCCTTATTTTGAAGTCAAACTTGCATTATTTATAAAATAAACTACTCTTATCTCTTTTTACGTATTGATAGAAAAGTCACAAATAAACACAAAACGGTTAAGTCAAATAAGCCTACTTTCAGTGGAATACATTATAGTTCTAGGCAAGAGTCAATACAAATTCCTATTTTAATAACTTTAGTACTGTAATGTATTAATTGATGCTTTCCAAACCCATCGTAATACAGTACAGAACCTTTTGTCAAAATTAAAGATACAAGCAACCATTTTGTTAAGACAGGATGTTTGTTTATTTATAGCCTCTCACTGGAGGCTCGAGGCACAAAAACTATCTTGACCTTGGAGTTGTTAAACCCCCTTCCCTGCCCTCCCTACAAGTTGCGTTGTTTGTTTACTCCAGCGATAATATAATCAGTTCTCAAAATCATAACGCACTTTACAATGTTATAAATTTGCCGCACAGATAACAAATCAGATCAGATGTGCTCTACATACAATGATGATAAACTAACAATATGCTACGGTATATTTTTTGAGATCAATAAAAAATAACTTAGTCGTAGTCATATCCTGTGGAGATAAGCGTATGGTTCAGTTCTCATCGCCCAGCGTGGGAGCGGAAATGCCGAGATTCCTAGAAAGCGGCGGTAAAACCGAACTGCTCTCAAAGCAAGGTCGGTTAAAACAAACTGTATTATTTTACGGTCGAAGGCGGATAATCCGATTATCGGTTAATACGAGGTCGGTTAAGAGGGGGTCTACTGTATTATCATAGATAAAACATACTCCTTGGTAGATTTCTCATCCTTATGGAACAGCTGTAGCCAATTTTATTGTTAGTTCTGTCCAGTGTACTGTAGGTGAGTTTTGCTTACACTGTGTTTCTATTATTTTAGGGTTAGTTTCTCATGATTTGTCTCGTAGAACATTGTCTAAAACCTGATCAAATAGCTGTTCTGCCTTAAATTATTTTAGCTTAGCTGCTTTTTACTATAGAAAAGAAGGTTTACATGGTGGATCCTGTATTTTAGTTAGGTCTGATGTAGTAGTCAAGGAGAGAAATGATTTAATAAATGTATATAATGTAGATAGTATATTTGAGGGTTATTGTATTGAGATACCAAGTTCAAAATCAGTCATAATTTCAATATACCGTGTACTAGATGCTAGTAATTTTAAATTATAAAAAAAAAATTAAAACAATTTTTTGTTTTATTACAAAAGGAAACCAAAACCAAATTTGTTTATATAGCAGGTAATTTCAACGTTGATGTTCTGAATGATTGTAAAAACAAGCAAGATAAAAACTTTTTTTAAAAGTTTTTATTAGCTCGCACAAACATTTTTTTCTTGTCCGGTACAAATTTTGCAATCAATTTTATACTAACTTCCTGATGAGCTAGAGACTTGAAACTTGAAACATAGCTCACAAATGGATGACAATGCAATATTATATATTTTAATTTTCATATTTTCCTTGGGCTACGCCCCACGTGTTTCCAAATTTTCTATGTTAACATTTCAAAAGAATGTAAATATATAAATTAATTTAAGTCAGCTGTAAATACTTAAATTTGACAGTTAGAAGAGCAGAGGTTAAGTGGTACAGGTTCTGCTACCGAGATATTCTAAAAATATAAAACAAGCATTTCAAAGTAAAGATAAAACATCTGATTACAGATAATAAGTTTTTGGTTATGTATTAACAGGCAATTTAAAATAGATATAACATATTTACACATTAAAGACTAAAAATTAGAAAATAACTTATCGATAAAAATACTTAAAAAAATTCCACGTTTTTAAATGCTCTAAAAAGTATAAAATAATTTATATATATTATGTTGAGAGAATAAATACTTGTAAGATTT